TGAGGCTTAGAAGGTTTTTCATATACATTTTGAGGATGCTGCTTCCCTGGAAAGAAAAAAAATCTCTAATTTCTGGACTGGAATATACAGGAAGCTATTGCTCATTTCAACTTGAGTTTGTGGTTCCTTCCTTCCTTCCTTCTTTCCTTCTTTCCTTCCTTCCTTCCTTCCTTCCTTCCTTCCTTCCTTCCTTCCTTCCTTCCTTCCTTCCTTCCTTCCTTCCTTCCTTCCTTTCTATTTTTGGTTTTTCGAGACAGGGTTTCTCTGTAGCTTTGGAGCCTGTCCTGGAACTAGCTCTTGTAGACCAGGCTGGCCTCAAACTCACAGAGATCCACCTGTTTCTGCATCCCGAGTGCTGGGATTAAAGGCATGCGCCACTACCATCTGGCAAAATTCTTTTTGTTTTGTTTGCCTTTTTTTTTTTTCAGACAGAGTTTCTCTGTGTAGCTTTGGTGCCTGTCCTGGAACCCACTCTGTAGGCCAGGCGGGCCTCAAACTCACAGAGATCCACCTGCCTCTGCCTCCTGAGTGCTAGGATTAAAGACATGTGCCACCACTGCCCACCTGAGTTTGTGGCTTCTAATTTTTTTTTCTTTTCTTTTCGAGACAGGGTTTCTCTGTGGCTTTGGAGCCTGTCCTGGAACTAGCTTTGTAGACCAGGCTGGTCTCGAACTCCCAGAGATCCGTCTGCCTCTGCCTCCCGAGTGCTGGGATTAAAGGCGTGCGCCACCACCGCCCGGCTTGTGGCTTCTAATTTTGAGATGCAAAAAAGAACTTTTATATTCTGTGATGGTGGGCCTCAACTCATATATTCGAATACTCTAGTACTTCACATATATAGTAGCATTCAGGAAATACTTGACTAAATAAATGAATGAACAAATAAGTCAACAAATTTTATTTAAAAATTATTTGTTTTTATTTTATGTGCATTAGTGTTTTGCCTGCAAGTATCTTTGTGAAGGTGTGGTATCCCCTGGAGGTAGTTACAGGCAGTTGTAGACTGCCACGTGGGTGCTGGGAATTGAACCCAGGTCCTCTAGAAGAACAGTCACTCTTAACCACTGAACCATCTTTCCAGCCCCAAAATAGTAAATTTCTTAATGCAATTCATTATGAAGCATTTTTATATTATCTTGGTGGTTAAAATCTAAGAAACAGGCTTGGCGGTGGTGGCACACGCCTTTAATCCTAGCACTCAGGAGGCAGAAGCAAATGGATCTCTGTGAGTTCGAGGACAGCCTAGTCTACAGAGCGAGTTCCAGACAGCCAGATCTATTACACAGAGAAACACTTGACAAAGATCAAACATTTGGTAGTGATTCTTTTAAATGCACTTAAATTTTGCTTAAGTAACACAAGCATGAGTATCTGTATTTGTAAAACAAATGAAAGAGATTATATCACTTTACAGTTTGCATAGAGTTAGGTCTTAAGGTAATTAATTCTTCTAGTCTGGCCTTTGGTGTTTTCCAAGTTCATGGAAAACTGAGAACGGTCAATATACTGTTTTTCATAAATCTAAATCAGTCAATGAGAGAATAGTTCTTTACTCAAAACTTAAATCTTCCCAATTTATGAGTTAAAATATCTCTTGTTTATTAAAATTATGGGGATAATTGTTCTTGTAAAATTTTTAATTTAAATAATTTGTTATTTTTTTAAAAACTTGCAAACAAATAAAAACATCACATACATAGATTCAATGAACTTCTATAGTTAGAATTGACATTCAGAATGCAAGCTGTGGGCTTCTATTAAATTTGCACTTACTACTGAATATATTTTATGCACTAGTTTACCACCAAAAGCAAAACAAAAAAATTAGCTTTCTATCCTCCCTTATAACTTGTGTTCATTCCCTGCATTTAGTACTTCTTGATCCTGATATATAGCCTTCTTGTTCTCTTTTCTTCATGAGTACATTTGTCTATATTGTACATAGATTAGTGGCTAGGTTCTCCTTATGAGAGGGAACATGCAGTTTCTTTCTGAGGTTGTGTGACCCCACTTATACATTCTAAGCCCATCTAATTTTCTACAAATTTAACTTCACTTTTCCAGCTGAGTAGTAAAAGAATAAAACTTGAATTAATCAATTATGTGTGTGTAAATCAGAGAACAACTTCTGAGTAGGTTCTCTCCTTCCATCTATCGGCACTAGAGACCACTCAGGTCCTCAGTGGGTATCTGTCTAGCCATCTCACTCATCTGGTTGTTCCTTTTTATTTGATAAAATAAAACTGATAACCTTAAAAGGGCTCTCCAGCTCTCTAAAGTGTTTTCCTGATTTGTGGCATCTGAGCTGCAGACTGGCCTTCAGATATGATCCATTTTATAAAAAACATACCAGTATTTACCTATTTTTTTTAGGAAGTAGTATAACTTAGGCTTTAATGAATAACATAATGATAGCCAGCAGGTATTGCATGACTGCTGTGATTGCTTTCAAATTTTTAAACTTTTATTAGATTATTGTTGCATATGTGACTATGTGGATGTTGAGATACTATATCTTCTGTGTGTTTGTGTGTGGTGTCAGAAAAAACCTTTCGAGGGGAGTTCTTTTTGTAACCTCTAGGCAGGTGCCAGGGACAGACTTTGAGTTCATTAGACTTGAGTAAGGCAGCACATCTGCTTCTGCCACCACATCGACCCTTTGATAGCTTTTAAATGTATTCACCCATTCAAATTTGATTGCAACTCGGGAGGAAATGCTGTGTCTCCATTTCGAAGATGAAGCCCTCCAGGCAAAATAGTCAAGTCTTTGCCCACAAAGACAAGTTTTAGACAGTTAATAAGGTAGCAGACCTTAGATTCAAACCACTGGCTCCAGAACATATATTAAATTTTACTAACAAACGGAGTTATGTGACAAGACCGCCAACAGAAAAGTTTCATATTCTGATAATTATGGAAAGAGAGATCAATTAGCATACAAATTATAAACTCCTATGCAACACTTACTATATTTGTCAGAGCCCTTCTTGGTTTTACTTAACTCATTCTTGATGTCTTATTTTTAGTTTAGTGTAAGAGACATTCTCCTTAAGCTTCTGTTTTGATTAGTGTGTGTGTGTGTGTGTGTGTGTGTGTGTATGTATATATATATTTGTCTTTTTGAAAAAGGGTTTCTCTGTGTAACCACCCTGGTGGTCTTGGAATTCACAAGGTAGAACAAGATGGCCTTGAACACACAGATCCTCCTGCCTCTGCCTCCCTAATGCTGGGGATTAAGGGCGTGGTAAATATATTTTATTTTTTCAATGAGGAATTTTCAACCAAGGAGAGCATAGCACTGTAAGCTTAGATATTATAAATAATTTAGGGCTAATCTGACCATAAACAAGCTTTATTAAGTTTTCTATTTTAAAAAGTATTTGGAGCTCAGATTTCAAATGTAGATGTCCACCCGGACAACAGTTCATTTAAAATGTGAAGATCAAAAACTTCGGGAGAAACTCAAATTTTCCTGAAGAGCTGGAAACAGCAATTGACCAAGTAGGCAAATTAGGAAGTAGGATTCATACTAATTTAAAAACAAAAGGTAGTCGAACTCGACATTTCAACTATAGGATGATGAGTTCTCGAACAAACAAAGAAAAAAAATGCTTCAAAACCTACAGCAAACTGAATTTCTTTTTTTTTCTTTTTTTTTTTGGTTTTTCGAGACAGGGTTTCTCTGTGGTTTTGGAGCCTGTCCTGGAACTAGCTCTTGAAGACCAGGCTGGTCTCGAACTCACAGAGATCCGCCTGCCTCTGCCTCCTGAGTGCTGGGATTAAAGGCGTGCGCCACCATCGCCCGGCCAGCAAACTGAATTTCATGGCGATTTTTGTTTTAATGATTTACACTGCTCTTGTAATGGTACAAAAGATTTGTTTGGCAGGTGTCTATCATTATGTTTAACAAATAATTAAAATAGTAGGCACTTGTTCTATATAAATAAAAACCGGATTTTGATATTAGTTGGCTTTTGATCCTCCAGAAAATATCAATTAACCAACAAACGCAGGAGCTTGCACGGTGTAAGCAAGCCTGGTGGCCTTAGTTCTGAGGCATTGCAACACCCAGCGAAATAGAGGACAGCAGTTTCTAACTCCGCAGGTAACTCAGGCACGAACCCTCCTTCCGAGTTTGGCTGGGGCTCAAGTACCCATCCCTAGGCCACGTGCCCTAGAAAAACACAGAACAGTTCTAGGACGCAGACCCAGCCCACTCGCAACCCACGCCCTTTCCCAAGACTACCTGCAACCCTCGCCAGCCAAGCACAGCCCGGCCAGCCCAAGGCAGAACCCTCCCAGCTTTGCTCCCGGAACTCCCCCCCCCCCCCCCGCTCCTGCCTCACGTGACGCATCATCCTCGCCCTCCACCAATCAGCGGCCACCTCCGCCTACCGGGGTCTCTGTCGCTCCTCTTTTGAAAACGCAGCCTACGCCTCCGATCACAGTCCCCGCCCCTCTCCCGCCGCCAGGCCGCTGACCACGCCCATCCTCAACTCCACCCCCTCCATCAGTTCTTCTCCCGGCGCCCACCCTTCCCGGGCTTCGCCCCGCCCCGTCCCGGGCCGGCGCCCGCCCTGATCTCGCGAGATCTGACGTGCGCGCCGCGGCCTCCCGCCTCCCCTCCCGTCCTCCTGCTCCCTCCCCCATCTCTCCACTCTCCGCTCTCCTCCCTCCCTCCTCCCCCCTCCACCCTCTGGGCCGGATCTCGTCTCGCTGAGGCGGAGGAGGAGAAGGAGGAGGAGGAGGACGTTCGGCCTGCGCAGTGAGATGTTTGTCCGTCGCCGCCGCCGCCGCCATCGCGGAGAAGCGCGATAAAGGCAGCCGAGCCCGGCGCGAGGGGAAGCCCGCGGAGCCGCCGCGCCAGCGCAGCCCGAGCCCGAGCCGCCCGAGCCCGAGCCGCCGCCCCCGCTGCCGCGGCCGCCTAGGGGCCGGCCCGCCGCCCAGCCCAGCCCGGGGGCCGCGCCGCCGCCCCCCGCCGAGCCCCGCGGCCGCCCTCCCGCCTTCAATGTGACACCGGCGCCTCGGAGTGCGAGCCGCAGCAGCCGCCGCCGCCGCCGCCACCGGGGAGGGGCCGAGCACCATGTCGAATCTGAGCAAAGGCACGGGCAGCCGGAAGGACACCAAGATGCGGATCCGGGCCTTTCCGGTGAGTCGGTCCTCGGCGCCCGGGACCCGGAGCCGCGGCCGGGAGCCGCACGCGAGGCCGGGGCTGAACTCCGCCAACAGGCCGCAGCCCGCCTCCCCTCCCCCACGGCCGCCGGTGGCGGGGCGCGAGCCTTCCCGGCAACGGGGCGGCGCGGGCCGGCGCGCTCGCCTCCCGGGCCGCCCCGGGGCCTCCTTCGCGACGGCCTCGGTCTCGGGTGTCGCGGCCCAGAAGGGACGCGCGTTGCCGCCGCCGCTCTCGCGTGGGGCGTGTGTAACTTTTGGCTTGTGGTTTTCCGAAGGACCCGGCTTGATTTGGACGGTGGTGAGGGGAGACTGCCCGCCTCTGCCCCCTCCTCAGTCGGGAGCCGTCTCGCTATCCGCCTGCCCCACTCGGTGACAAATGCCACCATCAGCACCGAGCATAGAAGTGTTTATGTAGAGCATCTCTGGTCCTGCAAAACCTCCTGAGCACTTCACCCACTCTGTTCAGTATCCTCCCTCCGCTTCTGGGAGGGGAGGCACGGAACGAACTGGGCTCTTGGTTTTCCATGTCTTAGCCAAGGAAGTCCTCAATAGTCGCCACGCAGGCTTGTTTTACCTTGTAGGATTTTAGCGAGAGCAAACGTTTTCTCAGAAACTTTTTTTCTCCTGGCGTTACATTGAGTCATAGGCTTGCGGTGTTTAGTAGATGGAGTGTAACTTTGGATGCCATGCCTTGATCAGACAGCCTGTGGCAGGCAATTAAAACGTCCTGTTGTAACAGGGAAACTGGACGTACTTGCTCTTGTCGCCACAGTAACAGGTAAAAGTCAAGTAGACACACCGGCAGGCCAGCAGGTTTTTAAAAGTAAAACCAAGGAAACTTGTATGTATTTTTCTTAAAAGGGTCATAGCATTCTGTCCAGTGGGAGGGAAGGGGGACTTTGTCATCATTTTTTTAAACAGGCTTTTCTTGAAGTACCCTTTGCAGTGAGGAAGGGAAAGATGACAGTGTTGTCCGAGTTGACTAACTTTGCCCTGGAGAACTTTAGGGCCTCTGAATTCTTAATATCAAAAAGAAAAGTACATATCTGATCCAGAATTGCGAATTTGCAAGGAACGCATTGTCAGTGTGTAGAAACTTGAACCTTTCTGTAAATAAATGGGGTCTTTGTGAACAGGGAGGGTACAATCAGGAGAATGAATTATCTTCATAATAATTGCATTATGAATGATCTTTTTTTAATAAAAGATTACACCAGAAAGTGAGAAATACTGGGACGACAGCACTAATAAAAAGTTCACTAGTGTGTTTTCCTTTGTAGTTGGGCTGTGAACTTGAATTTGAGTGATAATAGTTTTCTTACTGAATCAACGATCCAAGTGACTGTCAAATCTTTCTTATCCCTCTTCCCCCTGCTTCTTTTTTTTTTTTAAATCAACAGTGACACTGGTTTTCTAGGAAATGTTTGCTCTTGGTGCTGTTAGGTTTTGAAGGCTTTGTTGTTTAGTAAAATGTTGAAGAGCTTTTATCTGACAAGTTAATATTTTTCAGAGTAACCAGTTCTATCTTTATCAGTGTTCGCATCTCTCTGGACCTCTCTATTTCCCTGCTGGAATCTGTTTTCCTTTCCCATTTCTTCATTGGTCCAAGATATGCTGAGTGCTCTCTACAGGCACTGTTTGTCACTAGGGCTTGAGAATTCATCAGTAGATGTGGAAAGGTAAAGATTTTTGTTTTCTGGAGCTAGTGTTAGGGAGTAAAAGCAGGAGAGAATTTTATTCCATTAGCTGAAGATAGTGTGTGATAATACATAGTACTGGAACTGAGATTTTTATTTTGGTTTGTTTTTTGTTTTTGTTTTTTTTTTTCTAGTTAATAAGTAAATAACAGTCACAGGTAGTTCCCATTGAAAATAATCAGCTGTTGTTCGGGACAGATAATGGTCCAGTGATACTTCATTGACTCCTGGGAGTCGCGTCCTTAGACTGTCAGAGTTCCTTTCATAGAGATTAGTGCTCTTGTGTATAACAGCCCACATGAACTGCTAGTCAGAAGTTGTAAATAGTATTTCACACATACTATGTATGTGTGTGTATTCCTACCACTGGTGTATGGTAACACCATGTGGAGATATAAGTTAGTTATAATTTACGGCAGATTGTAGGTTAAAAAGTTTCAGTTGCTCATTTCAAGTTTGTTGGGGTTTTTTTCCTCAAAAAATTGTTGTGTAAAAGGAATGAGTAAGTTTGGATTTGATTGGTTTTCACTGTGTAGTAGTGGTCAGTTTATGGAATAGTTAGTGTATATACATGAGAGGACTTCAGATACAATTTTACCAGATCAGACAGGTACAGTCATATTTTTAGTTTGTATTTTAAGTTTGCCTTCACATTATTCAGCATAGTGAAAGTTACACCACACCAGCTTAATGCACAGTTTAAATTTTTTCTGCTCCCTTCCATTTACATTTTTAAGTAAACATACGAAATTTAAGATTACAAATTTCTGTGTACTTTTGACAGTTGACAGAAAAAAAGTTGACCTAATTTGTAGACTTTTCTTCATTATATAGAATATAGATTATTTTAAATCTTTTGTTGGTAATTAAAAAAAACAATTGTTGGGGGAGGGATGGGTTTGTACATGGAAGTGTAGGTTTCTGAAGAGGGCAGAGGAGTCAGATACCACCTTGGAGTCATCCTGAGCTACCTATTCCAGTGCTGGGTTCTAGTCCTCTGAAAGAGCAGTGGGCACTTTGAACCACTGAGCCACTGATCTGGCTCCTGTTGATAATATTTTGTAAAAAGTGTACACAAAGTATCAGTTGGCTACAGAACTTGATTATTATTAAGAAGGGACATTACATATGGGTTCAGGCCAAGTAATTCCTATGGAAGAGATTCTTTCCTTGCTGTTAGCATGTGTTTTCATTCCTGTTCTGTCTCCTGCATACTCTTCCTGGGGTAACTTTTCTGTGAAAAACCGTTCCTCTCTGTATGGTCCAGAAGTTTGTTCACATGGGCTTTAACAGGCATGGCTGGAATTGGAGGTATGATTCTTGAATGAAAATGCTGTCCTCTGTCATTTACCATTCTTGGCATCATTTAGAAGATTAGGAGTCACTCCTGTGATGTGACCTGTCTGTTTAGAAAGCTCCCATGGGTCCTGAAAGTAACTTCAGTTAATAGTCTATGAAGCATACTAAATCATAACAGGGACAACTCTGGATGTAATCTGCTCTGTGATTGTAGATGTTTTACCTTTGCAGCATGGGCAGTGGATGATGTCCACAAAGTGACAGAAATGCTAAGATCATTCATGAGAAACATTAGAGCATGGAGAAATAAGATAAGGACTTGGGGATAGATAATGTCTTTTTTTTTCTATTTCTAGTTACAGTAATATTTGCCAGATTTAAAGAACGTCTTTGAACTTTACAATAGGTTTGTTTCCTAGAGGAGGTACTTGTTAGAACTGTTTGTACTGAATCTGTAGGAAAGCTAAATAACAGTCTTAATCACACAAACCCAGGAGTAAACTTTTCATTCTGTATTTTTTCTTTTATTTTTCTTATATTTATTTTATGTGTGTTGACATTTTTGCCTGTACTTTTGTCTGTGTGAGAGTTCCAAGTCCACTTACAGCTGGAGTTACAACTGGTAACAGTTGTAAGTCACCATTGAACCTGGTTCCTCTGGAAGAGCTGTAAGTGCTCTTAACCCCTGAGCCATCTCTCTAGCCCCTCTGTTATTTTCTTACAGAGAAATTATGGGGAAACATACCAAAATGCTGCTTATATTTATGCCTACAGACTTAGTAGCTTATGTATAACATTTATAGTTTGGAGTTAGTGAAGCTTTGCTTAAAATAAGAGAAGATAAAAAGCGTAATGTTTTCCTTTTTAAAAAAAAATTGTTGTTTGTATGGTTTGCCTGCTTTGTATGTCTTTTATCACTTTTTGTGCCTGTTGCCCTCAGAGATCAGAAGAAGGCATCATCTCTGGAACTGAAGTTGTAGATGGTGGCAGAGCACCTTATGGATTCTGGAAACTGAACTTTGCATCCTCTGCAGTAGTAGCAAGTGCTTTTAACCATTGAGTCATCTCTCTGGGCCTCTTACTTTGGTTTTTAATTATGTGTATATTTGTGCCCATGAATGCAGGTTCCCATGGAGGCAAAAAAAGATGTTGGATTCCATGGAATTGGAGTTAAGGGAAGTTGAGGACCAAGGGGCTTGGGTGTTAGGAACCAGGCTGGGATCTTCTGAAAGAGCAGTGCACACTAACTCCTGAGGCATTCAGAAGAGTTGGGAAAATTAGTGTGTAGGCTGAATTTTGTTTGTGTGCAAGAGAGAGAATTGGTGCCTGTTGTTGTGTCTGTAATGTGTCTGTGGGTATGTTTGAGGCCAGAGGACTTTGGATATACTTGTCTATATTACCTTACTCCCTTATGATATGTTCTCTCCCTGAACCTGAAGATGGGCTGGCAGCCCATGAGTAAGTCTCAGCAATCCTTCTGTCTCCACCCTTCCATAGAGCTGAGGTTACAGCTTCTCATTCACACATCCTGTGCTGAGCTTTTTACATGGGTACTAGAATCTGAGTTCAGATCCTTACATAGCAAACACTCTTGCCCACTGAGCCATCTTATCTCTTCAACACCTTGAATTTTAAAGCCTATTTGCACAGTAGCATAGTCTAGAAATGTGAAAATTTACCTTTTGTGTATGTAATACATTAATTAGGAAGTTAAATCATTCACATAAAATAGTCATTTGTTTGAAGATCATTCATTCATTAAATGTAGCTTAGTGGTGGTAGTAATAACATCTGTCCAGTTCAGAAAGCGTATAGAATTATGACAAGAAATACTACACTTTTCTTTGTATTATAAATGTGGAGAACTTAGAATAGATTTTTTTGTTAACTTTCATTCAGGGTTCTCAGAAGGGTCTTTAATATATAGACTTAATATGTTACTGGATAATTTATTTTAAAATAAGTTAATAAAATAATATAT